TAAATACTGTTATATATTACTATAGTAATATATATACACACTATTACTTTTATATATACTATTATAACATAAAGGATTTTTAAAACCATATATATGGATTTTAAACAGTGCTTGACATCATAATCATATGTAGGGAGTGAAAGTCTCTCAGTTGGGTCTGACTCTTTGTGATCCCATGGGCTGTAGCCCACCAGGCTCCTTTTTCCATGGAATTCTCCAAGTCAGAATGCTCGAGTGAGTAGCCGTTCCCATCTCCAGGGGACCTTCCCAACCCAGGGGTTGAACCCAAGTCTCCCTCATTTTAGGCAGATTCTTTACCATCTGAGCCACCAGGGAAGCCCAGTCACAGGTAGCCTGCCCCTGTAACCTTTATATTCACTTTCTCATTTAATCCTCATGGTCAGATTGTCAGGTTTACATTATTAGCCCCATTTTGCAGACATGAAAACCGAGGCCCCGGGAGGTTGTGTTACCTGCCCAGGGTCCTGCAGCCTGTGGTCCCCCCACAGAATCCCAAGCTTCGTCTCCTCCCAGAACATCACACACTGTCTTCTCTCACACAGCATCCCCAGGACTTCTCCCAGAAGATGATGTCACAGAACAATTGGTTTTAGGCCAAATTCACTGCGGGGCATCACTCCCGGCGCACACACTGATTAAGAACACACTCTGCCGGAATGGGACATAGCCCGGTTTCTGGCGGACATCCTCTAAGAGCTGGCCTGTCTGCTCAGCTCTCACAGAAGCTGTGTGTGTTAAGTAAACCCTCCGAAGTTGGCTTGGATGGGGGAGCAAACGATAGGTGGACGAACATTCGAACGTGGACTGGAGCGCTCCAAGCAGACCCCAGGCCTCCTGTGTTTACAGGCCCCCAAATGAAATCACCTGGCTGTTTATAGGAGTCTTAGTGCTGATGAAAAGGCTGAGTTACGCTCCAAACTTTTCCCTGCCAAAGGAGAAAAGTTCCAGGTTCTTTAAAAAGTATGTAAAGCATCTGATCTGAAAAGTGGCAACAACATTTGGGACCAATTACTCAGATTAAGAGGCAACAATGCTCTGTTTACACTTCGTAGCCAAGAGCCATTTGGCTCTGGCCCACAAGCTGGAGATTGTAAATTATAGAAATTTCAGCCTAACGTTGCTGTCTCTTTTGACCTGTGTGTCTGAGGGTAGGGAGAATCAGCTAGAAAAGCCCTGTTGTTACTTGCCTTAAAATGTCAATGAGTGGGAAACTGAATGTTGTCTTCCAGGTAAGACGTTTAACATAGATCCTCTGCGAGGAGAGCATGCATTTTCTCACTCAGGGAAGGGTCTAATTGACTGAGGATGCTGTGTCAGGATGTGGTTTTTCGGTTTGCTACTCCTCAAAAATTATTTTTGCAAAAGAAGTTAAAACTAAAGGCTCTCTGACATCTTTTGCTTCACTACCATTGCATTCCACTTTAACACTGTTTTCCAGTATGCCATGGATTAATCATTAACAAACGGGAGTTGGTGGCATTATTACCACGAGAACGCATAGATACAGCTCATGTGGGCAAAAAAAGAGGCCTTAGTTGGCCAAAACGTGGAGGCTGAAAGGAGTTGGGATCATTTGGGACTGAGATTTCCTTTTCTCCCTTCACTAAGGAGGCCAGCCCCCATTGCATGTAATCCTGATGATTCCAGAAGTTTGGGAAAAATTCTCGTCTTTCTTTTAACGTAATCCTGATGTTAAGGGCTTGACCTTGCCGGGGGGGAAAGGAACCACAGAGGTCAGACAACAAGAAGAAAAGAGAGGCATCTATTCCTGAAGCACAGACCTGTGGAAAAGATGAGTCATTATTTTACCAATAGCTGAAATGCACGTGTGCAGAGGTTTATAATTTAACCACTTTCAGTATCACATTTAGACCATCAAGCTGGACACTTTGCAGGCAGTGGACTCGCTTTTTGAAGTTCTACAGGTTGGATAGTTGCTTAGGTAAAAATGTGATTGGGTTTTGATTGTGAAGTATTATGGAAATCTTAGGATTGGAAAACTTTTTTGTTTTGTTTTGGAAAACATTTGTACCCAAGAATCCAGTGTCCATTTCCTGGAGGACTCGGTTCAGAGGCAACTGATATTTGAGGACATTCCAGTCCCCTTGGATGTCAGCATATATATGTATATCTTTTATAAAAACTGATCAACAATCAACTGTATTCATTTTGGATTCTTCTGACCCTGGCTGGTCTATCTGAATAATTTACCGTTTTCTGCAGTGTCAGAGCTTCCTGACATCTACAATTAACTCACAAATTAACTTAGAAATGATAGTAAGCGCTCAGCCAAATGATACAGTGGCCACTGGGGACTAGGCCAATTTTCTAGAATAAGGTTAGGACCAAGTTACTCTGTAACAATGCTAAGGTTGGCTGTATAGGAGTAGCTCTTCAAATGTGAACAGGAATCTAGGTGTGAGGGAGAGATGTTATCAGCCTCTAATTCTGTTGGTTACTCAGCCCTCTGATATTTCTTCATCTATGAAACAGGGATAACCGGTTTTAAAAATGCCATGGAAGCCTTAAATGAAGGCTCCATAATGGAATCAAGAAGTCACGGAACGGTTCCCTTGGAAGGAAGCTTGGAGAACACTGGTCCAACTTCCCACTAAAGCCAGACATCTGGAAATGGGCAGATGGGCAGGCAGACATGGATTTTTAGGACTTGTAAACTCAAGTCAGGTCACGTAAATATGTGAAGACCTGGGTGAAGCCTGCCAGTTAATCCTGACTGACCACCTAGACAGATGGTGGTCCTTTTTCTGAGGCTGCCACTACTGGGGGCTTCGTCTTTAGAAAGTTTTGTTCCTGCTATGGGAACCAAAGGGCTTCCCAGTTGGTGAAGTGGGAAGAATCTGTCTCCCAACACAGGAGATGCAAGAGACGTGGGTTCGATCCCTGGGTCGGGAAGATCCCCTGGGGGCAGGAAATGGCAACATACTCCAGTATTCTTGCCAGGAAAATTCTGTGGACAAAGGAGCCTGGCGGGCTGCAGTCCATGAGGTCGCAAAGAGTCCACGGGGTTGCAGAGAGTTGGACATGACTGAACACACACAAATGGGAACAGAAACCGTGTCCCTGGAGCGTCTTTCTACAGAGTTGGAGTCTGTCCTCAGAAGCAGTACAACTGAACCTCATCCCTATATATATGGCAGATTTTCAAACCCTTCAAGGTAACTTTCATTCTTCTCCCGTCCCCTTGGCTAAATTCCCCAGTTTCCCATATGATATGGACTCAGAGTGTTGTCTTCCTGAGTTGGCCTTAGTTTCTGAGTCTCTTAAGAAGCATCCAGAAACAAGATATTCAGAAGTCTTATGTCCAGTTCTGTGTACCATGCCAAGTGACTTTAATCAGAACCCTGGTCAGGGAGGAATCCCATACTGTGGAGTCAGATCTCAATCATCAAGGAGCATGTAAGGAGGGATTTATTGCATTTAAGAATGTCTCATGTTTATCCCCATTAAATTGCATTTTGTTTTGGCTTTTTGGTGGCTTTTAAAGTCTGTCCCTCTCATCTTTTGTTCCTTTACAAATTGCATTAGCATGTCTCTTACAGGTTTGTCCAATCATTGATCTGCATATTACAGAAGCCAGTGTTTCTGGGGTTTCTAGGTTCTTTGATGTCACTAGTAATTATGTTGAAAATAGTTAGAAGTTTATTTTTTCAACTAGCTCATAAGCAGTGGTTAACAGTAGGACCTCTGCAAACTAGATTTGCCAGGATTTAAATCCTGGGTCTGCTGATATACCAGGAGCATGGCCTTGGGCATGTTGATTTGACTGTGCCTCAGTTTCCTCATCTGTAAAATGGGCAGATAATAATATATGATTGTTTGATGATGAAATGAGTTAATATATGTAAAGCACTTAGACTAGGTGCTTTTTCAGGTACGTAGTATGCACTGTTTATTATACAATGAAAATAAATCAAGACAAAGTTCCTAAAGACAGGGACAGTTTCTCATTGATACCTGTATCTCCAGAGACTAGTACTGTGACTGAAATATACTTAGGGCTAAATAAATTGGGTATAGGGACGAGAGTTTCCATAGTGTTCTGGACAGTAGATGCAGACAGATAACATAAGCAATGCTATGGTTTCCAATGCTAACAGATTTTCAGTTCCATTCAGTTCAGTCGTGTCCGACTCTTTGCAACCCCATAGACTGCAGCACACCAGGCTTCCCTGTCCATCACCAACTCCCGGACCTTGCTCAAACTCATGTGCATTGAGTCCGTGATGCCATCCCACCATCTCATGAAATTGTACACTGTTCAACCTCGGGCCATCATCGGACTGGTTATTTTGTCCCTAATTTTTCTAAGAATGATCATCATTGTCACCAGTGTCTTTACTGATTCTAATCTGTCATGTCTCGGTTTAGCTCAGAAGACCAGAAAAATCAGACACTGAAGTTTACTCTCAACTCAGAAAAAGGGCAAGTGTACTGTTAAGTTTTGCCTGCACCAATGCGAGAGGGGACACTATTTTTAGCATGCAAAGTCTATTAACCCAAGAATCCTAATGCTCCTCACTCAGATCTTTGTGTTTAAAATTTTGTAGATTACCCAGCCATAGGGAAACTCATTCCAAAAGACATGCTAAACAATTTAAACGTTTGAAACGGCATCCACATCCACAGTGAAGTTTCCGCATCGCATCTGCGTGCCTTTCCATTAACACCCACAATGAAGTGCTAACATCAGGGTAGGTCTTGACTTAAGTGCATAGCAACATAATGCCCGCCCCTCCTCCCGCCCTCCTCCCCGCTTTCAGTTTCCGGGTGTTAAACCAAGTTCTCCTCGGATTGCAAATTTAAATCGTGTTCAGAGATACCTTTTACACGGAGTTCTCTTTGAACTTCTTGTCCAGGCTAATTCAAACCCGTTCAGTATTTTCCTCCTTCTCCATTAATACAGTGGAGCTCAAAGAAGAAAATTCACCAGTGTTTTCGCCTTTGTACGTGTTCAATAGGTACCCCTGCAGCAATAACCTGGAGGAGGAGCCGGTCTGCGAGAGCAGGGGCCACCGGTAATAGGATCCGGGGTTGTTGTGTGTGTAAAGTGCTAACACTTTTGACAGCCACCATCCTAAAGGGGTGTAGCAAGTCATTGGGAATTTGTACACAGACTGCCCTATCCATTACGCATCGCCCATATCATACCCATAATCTCCCAAGGCAGAGATGCTATTACACTCAGCGGGCCAAGGGCTGCCCGCGCTTAGATACACACAACTCCCACTGACTCTGTGCTACCGACGTACTTCAATGGGACTTGTCAGCGGCATAAATTTAGCTCAGTACAGTCACCGCCGCAGCGGGCGCAGCCAAACAGAGAGACCAGGCTGTGTGTTAAAAAGGCTGAGGAAGAACAAAAAAGCTGCCAGTTTTCATAGGAAATCTTATCCCGAGAGCATGAAGAACTGGAGCCTGACACCCGCCACACCACCCTCCTCCCGCAACCTGCCGATTCCAGCCTGGAACTTGGAAGCAGCCGAAACAGAGAGGGCATTAAAAAAAAAATAAAATAAAAAATGGCCTGCTACAGGGCATAAAACTGTGCTTTGCATCCAACCTGATTATGTGAGGGAAAAATTCCCCATAGATGATTCTCGGAACATTTATCAAAATTTCAAGGAACATCGTGGAACAAATGACCCTCTTTAAATAGAGAATATTTAAAACACATACCACAAGGTCACAAAGATGGCCAGCTCTTGAAAGCCGCCGGTCTATTTTGAGTCACACACAGGTGTCTTGGGCCTTGTGGTATATAGTATAGCATTTCTTTTTGGCCCTTTCATAATGTTTTTGCCATGTTATCTAATATAATTCTTTGAGAGGTCTGTCTTGGCTTTTTAGACAACCCCAAATCATACCTGGTAAGTGATGAGGGTCACTGACCACAAGGCCAGCCTATAGTAAACTCCAGGGTTTAATCTGTATTCTGAGCCCTTGCCATAGCAGACAATGAAGTCTATTCATAATTACAGAAAGTTTGCTGAGCAGGGCCTGGGTGCCAGTCCATGCTTCGCATCACACTAATTGTGTGTCTTGGACGTATCCCTTAGCATCTGTAAGCCCCGGTTTTCTCACCTGTGTAGAGAGTACCAGAAAAGATGTGCGAAACAGCATGAAGCTCCATCAAATGGACGAATCCATGTGTCACACTGTGTGGTACACAGTCATACTGTCTGGGCTTCCCAAGTGGTGCTAGTCATAAGGAACCTGCCTGCCAATGCTGGAGACATAGGAGACGTGGGTTCGATCCCTGAGTCGGGAAGATTCCCCTGGAGGAGAGCATGGCAACCCACTCCAGTATTCTTGCCTGGAGAATCCCCATGGACAGAGGATCCTGGCGGGCTACAGTTCGTGGGGTTGCAAAGAGTCAGACACGACTGAAACAGCTTAGCACACAGCACACAGGTACTCAAGAAAAGCCTCCTCCTCCTATTTCTTTTTCCTCTCTTCTTCCCCAAGACAGTCTAAGAAGTTACTGCTCATGCAAACCCAGGTCTATTAAGAAAAATGCTGCATTTCAAGAAAATAAATATTACCCCACGAATGATAAATGGTCACATATGTAACAGCGCACATTTAAAGCTATCCTCATCCTTTGATAGTTGTTACAGAACAGATAAGAATAATCTATTCAAAAGGAAAATAAAAAACTAAAGGGTAAGGAAACAAATTAGACATTTACTTAGGTCTGATTAGTGGCTCCTTCCAGTGGTGATTTGAGCTGAGTTTAGGATCCCTGAACTGTTAATGTGCACTGCTGAGAGGTGACCATATTAAGAAGCTGAATGCATAATTCATTCAAAGTTCACATAGATTGTCTTAGTTTGGGAAAGAACAAACTCAGGTGCAATTCCATTCATGCAGCACAACTAGTATGTTTCATGATAATAAGTTTAGGTATAGAAAACTATCTTTCTCCTGGATAAATTTGGTTTCCTTGTCATTTCTTCATTTTTTTTTTCTTTTTGTTTTTTTCAATATGAGGACCCTAGTTCAGAGTAGACTTAATCATGTTAATCATGTGTTAAAAAATTACATCACTCCAAAAGACTTCCATGCACTCTAAAAAAGGTGGTCTTGGTCAGATTTTTATAAGAATGCATTCTTGAATAGGAAGAAGGGCCCTAGGTTAAATTCAAAAAGTATGAGTAATTCAGGAAAAAAATCATACATTTCTTTTTACGTTTTCCAATATAAAAATATTGCTCTACCATTGTTAAGTAACTCTCATGGGCACATTTACCTCTCTGAAGGCTCTGATGGGAGATGCAATATCATGTTTATTAGAACAAAGTAACTGAAGTTTAATAAGTCTGGAAGAGCACACGAAACCGACTTTTTTCAATAATCTCTGGTTTGAAGTTTTGTAGTTAGAAGTGTTGAAAGTGAAAAGAAAAATTAAATTTGCACCATGTTCAGGGGATTTGTAGAGCTTGTATGTAAAAATTTGGTAGTGGTGGTGACCATGCAACCAGTTCTATTTGTGTAAGAAAATCAGCAGAAATACAGCAAGCTTTACTCTAAGTTAAGCTGAGGTCGTAAATCAGGCTGTAAATGGAAAATAAGATGGATATACACACGTCCAAATATACATGATAAATTCTTTAAATTCTCTTTGTCTCATCAAAGAGAATAGAAAAATAATAATAAAATTTAAGCTGCCTTCTGCCTTCCTCCCTCCATTGTAATAGTGGCCTCTTGAATCTGGCTAAACTTTGTGGTTAGTAAATTTTGTTTAACAGAAATTCTTTTTAAAAAACAAGGTCTGTCCCCTGTTCATGCACATTTGCCTCCATCTGACTGATCCCTGCCGTCCGTCTCAGGCAGGTCAGGTCAAAGCATCACATCAGCCTGCGACGAATGGATTTAGGACACGAAGCATTTCCTCAAAAATAAAATTCCCTGTGAAAACTTTGCAGGACCAACAAACACATCAGAGACGCGTTATGGGAAGAGTGCCAGAAGTCAAGCTAAAATGAAGGCCGAATCCTTGAGATCAGGGAGAAGGGGAAAAAGGTCAGACAGAGAGAGAAGTGAAAGGAAAAGCGGGGCAGGAGGAGAGAAGGGACCCAAATTAGAACAAGAGGCGATGCTTATTAATAACCTTGCTGACCCACGGGCCCCTGACACAGAATGCATTAAGTATTGTTGGGACACTTTGCTCCGTCACTCACAGGAGGAGCGTGTGAAATGGTGTTGGAAGCTGCAAACTCTCGACAAGAGCCAAAAAAACCAGGATAAGGTAAGGGCGTGGACTTACGGGGTTGAGAAGTTCCCTTTCTTCTCCTGCAGCATCCTCTCTGGGCAGCCTACCTCACGCCTCCATGCTTCCAGCCAGCTAAAACACACACACAGGAAACCATGTTTTTCTTGAATGCAAAAAATAACACACGTCCTGGAATTCCCTGGCGGTCCAGTGGTTAGAAATCCGCGCTCCTACTGCAGGGGCCCTGGCTGGATCCCTGACTGGGCAGCTAAGATCCCACAAGCAGAGCAGTGTGGCCAATTAAAAAAATAAAAGTAAAATAGATACAACGTTCATCGCAGAACATTTGAAAATTACAGAAAAGCAAGAAGTCAATAAAAATTCTTCTTGTCCTGCCGCTTGTGTATCATCATTGTCAGTATGTGAATACCCATTTTCTCATCTTTTTCCTCTGCTTTCTTGCATGCATATATTTGTGTGCTGAAAAAGTACAATTGAGGCCCTGGTGCCATCCACTGTTTTGGATTCTGGTTTTCCTATCTGACTATTCCTAAGAGATCTTTGAGAGGGTTATTAAAACTATTATAAAACACGATTTTTCTGTTGGCATGATAATTCCTTATTTGATGGTAAATTCATTTGACCTCTAGTTAGATATTCATGGAACATTGTAAATTTTTGCATTTTAAAATATTTGTGTGCATCTCTGTTCACTCTAGAAATAACTGTGAGATTCCTGGGTCAAAACCTTTTGGGGGGGCTATAATTTGCAGAGTTGCCCTCTGAAGTATTTATGCCAGTTTATATTCCCACCTGCCGTGAAAGAGAATCCAGAACTCACAAACCATCATTAATTCTTCACAAACTGAGATAAGAAACTTATAACCTACTGTGATCCATATTTCCTTGATTATTTGTGATACTAACTTCATGTTTATTGGCTGTCTTGTTTTGTGTGCATGTTATTTACCTGTTATTTTAATTTCTTTGTATTTAAAGTTGGAAAAGTTGTATTTAATTTTTTAATGGTGTTAGATCTTTACATGTTAAGATGTAAAAGTTCTTTGCATAGTGCATTTATTAACCCTTACACTCTTGCCCATTGCAAACATTTCTCCATTCTGTTTTTAAATTATTAGTGGATTTTTAATGTATATGTTTATCAATTTAAATACATACCTATTTTCATGTAGTCTTTCTTCCTTTGCTTTTGTGCTTAAATAGGCCTTGCATATCTCAGGGTCAGAAAAATATTAGCCTGTATTTTCTACTAGTATTTTTTGTGGCTATTGTTATTTAAAAGAAAAAAAAAAAAACACTTAAATCTCTCATGTATTTGGTCTGTGTGATAAGAATCTATTTCCTCACTGATCTAAACGTTGCTATTTATTGGACCTATTTCTGTATTTTAGAATTTTATTCATTATCTTTCTGTCTTCATCACTTCTTTTGCCAAAACCCTCCTTTTTTTTTTTTAATCACTATTTAAGGATATGCTTTCATATCCAGTGATGCAAGTTTTTTTTTTCTTCTTAACAATTAGTTTTCTGGGTTATGCGTCTCTATTTGTTATCCCATAAGAACTCATCAAGTTCAAAATGTAAGAAGAGACAACTGATACATCAGTGTGTGAGGATTTGAAGTCTTTAATACCTAGTTTTCTCATTTAGAAGTAAAGCATGCCTTCCCATTTATTTTTTCATGTGAACTGCTGTTAAAGTTTAGTTTCTTCATCTATTTTTCAATGTGCATGGTATCAAATTTATTCACTGCTATTGTGAATACAATTTCTCTGCTAAATCC